TCATATCAGCTTTTAATTTTCCACTACTAAACATAAGCCTCTCTAATAAGAGGGATAGATTTGGTAGAAGTTGCCATGTTTAGCAGGCGGATTTGGCAGTCGTAGTTAGGCTTTGGAGATGTTTGAAGAGGGACGCTGCTGTCCATTCCTCGCCCTCCCTTAGTCATCTCTTACGACACCCACGGGAAAGGAAGGGGTGGCCTATTCTATGCCGGAATCACACGGCAATACTTTAATAATCTTTACTAATACTCGCGGTAGGGATTGACCACCTAAAACATGGTCAGATGACATTTGCCAACAAGCTGGGACTGAGTGGATGGAAGTGACAAGGAATGAACAAGCAGAGTATCTTGGAGAGGAGCCTATAGCCGAAGATGAACGCGATTAGGGCTGCTATAGAAAAATTGCTGTTCAATACAATGAAGTATATTTTCTTTCTCTCTCTTACACACACACACACACACACACATACACACACGCACACGCACACGCACACGCACATGCACACGCACACGCACACGCACATGCACACGCACACGCACACGCACACGCACACGCACACGCACACGCACACGCACACAATTCCAAATTAGAAACAATACTAGTAAAGATCCTGATTTAGTAAATTTAGTTAATTTCAGTTTACAAAGTGAGCAGATGTCTAGATATCTAACTTTTTATTACAACTGAAATTAATTTGGACAGTTGTCTCCGGGGTGGGGTGAAGCGTTAAACTTTGTTAACTCTAATATTATTATATGTGATAAACAACTAGCTGCTTCTGTAACGAGACAGTGTATAATGTCTGCGGCCATAACTTGGAACTATTCTCAAGATCTATAACCCCGGCTCGTCTACACATTACTCCATATTATCAACACTGCTCGTAACAGTGAGCATAAGTTTAAATAACATTTTGCTATACTGTTAGGCATGGGAATTGTTTGTCATATTAAACTAATTTTCATTAGGCGAAATAACAGTCTATTAACACTGTGATATGAATTGTGATAAATGATAACAATGTTTTTCACTCACAATGACCTAATATCGTATTCGTTACAATTTATTATTGAACGAGTGAACAAATAGTCTAGCACGGTGTACCAAAGTTCTCTCTTTCTGTCACAGTCGGCCATCGACTATGATATTGTTTTACTAATAAGTAAGTGTAGTCGATGACTCACGAATAAATTCAAACTATCTGCGTATTAATTTACAGAGTCAGATTACCCAACATTGCGAAAATATATCCATATTTTCGCAATGTTGGGAATCACAATTCATTACCAGAGTGAGACTGTACAAAAGTCGATTGCTTGGGTACCTCTGTCCCATTCGTGTTTCAACCGTGAAGCAGATGTGTTTGCATGACTGTGTTTCGGTTTGAAGGGTGGGATATGGCGTGAATTTACAGGGTACAGAGGAATAACACCTGAGTCCTCAGGAATGGCAACGCATGGGAGGTATCATGGGCGTAACAGTTTACTCTGTTATGTCCATGGCACTGCTCATGTCTATACGAGGTTTGTCCGGAAAGTACGTATAAAAGTTTTTTAAAAATTTTATTTTACAATTATTCAGGTAAATCAATTTTATCCCCTTCAAAGTACTCCCCCTGTGACATAATGCACTTGTGCCAACGCCGTTTCCACTGTGAGAAGGCTCCTTGAAAGTCCTCTGGTTGTAGGTTTCTCAGCTGCCCCGTCGTAGCTTTTTTTATCTCATTTATGTCCCCCAAATGCCGCCCCCGAAGTACCAATTTGGTTTTTGGGAACAAGAAGAAGTCACACGGGGCCAAATCCGGCGAATAGGGGGGGTGTTCGGTCACCGTAATGGAATTTTTACTCAAAAACTCACGGACAACAAGAGAGGTGTGGGCAGGGGCATTGTCGTGGTGAAGAATCCAACGCCCCTCTCGCGCCAATTCTGGACGAACTCGTGCCACACGAGCTTTGAGGCGTCTGAGCACATCGACGTAGAATTTTCCATCAACTGTCTGGCCTGGAGGGACGAATTCTTGATGGACAATCCCCCGAACATCGAAAAAAACAATCAACATTGTCTTGACATTTGAGCGGGATTTTCTTGATTTTTTTGTTCGTGGTTCCCCGGATGTCTTATCGAATTAGATCGGCAAAAATTTCACGGCCATTCTTGCCGAGTTTCGAGAGAAACTTGATTACGACGCGCTGCTCTTCAACGGAAGCGGGCTCCATGCCGACGGGGTTTCGTTAAGAGGTAACTTCACAGATGGCGTGACAAGCCAGTTTGAAGCATTGTTAGGGACATAAGGAAGGGGTCCTGCGCTTACCTGGCCTCCCCACTCCTCTTTCTCGCATTCCAGACCACTTTTATACGAACTTTCCGGACAGACCTCGTAGGCGACGGTTACCACTTTCTATCAGGTGGGCCGTCAGCTTGTTTGCCATTCTAAGTTGTATATATAACAAAACACTCATTTTTCTGTTCGGGTACTTTTGGAGAAATGAAATTCTTCGAGAAATTTTTGGAAGAAAGTGAATAGGGTTTAAAGATATTTGGAAATCGTATCGATTTGAAGAAAAAATACTTGACGTTTTGAAGAAAATAAAAATTTGCATCTGTCAACATTGTTATTTATTTTAATTGAAATTGAAAATGAAATCCTTTATTTGCTGGAATAAGGTACATTTTTATAGGTGTTACTTTACAAGAAAAATAGGCCAATCTTAGTCTGCCACACTGTAGGCGTGCAAATATAAAAACTTATTAAACAAAACATTAAAATAATTTCATCATAATAACATAAACATTTGAAATAATATTTTGTCACTTTTGGTCTCTATTCATGTCAAATCATTGTAATATAAATTCATTAAATATGTACATAACACAAGGTGAACACATATCTAATCATCATTTATAATTATTTTATCATTTAAAAACTCATTTACTGAGTAATAACATTTATCCATAAATAGCTTGATGAGCATTTTTTTTTGTAATAGGATAAATTATTACAATTCCTGATACTTTCAGGCAAATGATTATATATCCGTATTGCCATGCAGTAAGCGTTAGTACTCAATACATTTAGTCGTTGTGTAGGTACATATAATTTATTTTTATGTCTGTTACTGCGGCTTATAATATCTGTTTGTTTCTTAAATAATTGTGAGTGTTTCTTAACAAAAATACACATTTCTAACAGGTAAAGAGAAGGCAAAGGCAGTATTTTATTCATCCTAAATAATGGTTTACAACTATCTCGGAAATGTGTATTAGACAGTGCTCTAATACATTTTTTTTGTGCCTTAAATACAATGTCAATGTCAACCGAATTACCCCACAGTATTATACCGTATCTTAAAAGAGATGATACATAACCATGGTATGCTAATAATGCTAATTCCTTGCCAGCAATTTTCCACAAACGATTTAATACGAACACAAATTTATTTAGTTCAGTGTTTAATTTTTCAATATGAGGTTTCCAGTTACAATATCGATTTATTGTTATACCAAGTAACTCGGTATTGTCAACAGTATTTATATAGTCATTGTTTACAGAAGCTCTAATGTCAATTGAGTTATTATATGTCAAAAATTCTATTAATTAAGTTTTGGATAAGTTCACCTTTAAATTATTCTCATCTAGCCATTTTATCACAGTTAAAAGCATATTATTAAGTTCATTTTTAAATTTAGATTTGTTTTTATTGTCATCTTTCATTATAAGTGTAATATCATCCGCAAATAAAATACAATTTTGATTAATGACCGTAGGCGGGTCATTTATGTAAAACAAAAATAACAATGGCCCTAAGACACTACCCTGCGGTACCCCCGAAACGTTCCTGCAATATCGGGAGTGATAAGTTCAGTTGAAATTAAACTTATTAACATTAGATATTTCAACGCATTGCTGACGGTTACAGAGATAGCTAGAAATCCAGTCATGGGCTTTTCCTCGAATTCCGTAGCTTTGTAATTTATTTAATAATATTTTATGGGATACACAATCAAACGCTTTACTCATATCTAAAAATATAGATACTATTTTCTTACCAGCATTAAGGTTTTCAGTTACGGTTTTAATAAGATTAAAACAAGCTAATATTGTAGATTTACATTTTCTGAATCCAAATTGGTAATTTGATAGTAGATCGAATTTATTAACAAAACTATTTATTCTATCTGACATAACTATTTCAAATATTTTAGAAATGACGGAGACAAGAGTTCTGGGTCTATAATTATTAATATCTTGTTTATCTCCTTTTTTGTATAGCGGTTTAACAATAGATTTCTTAAGACGAGTCGGAAAAATCCCACTTATTTATTAAATTAATTTACATGTATTTATTAAATTAATTCATGCATATGTTCGTTCGTTGATTCGACAATTTATTTATTTATTTTAATGACTATTAGCAGTACATATTATACAATTTTACTACTTAAATCTTATGTATTAAAATTACGTCAATTCCATTCATAATGTAAACATTAATGTGAGTTTGTTGAGAGATAAACAAGTAGGTTACAGAAAAATTACACTTAGTAACAATCAATAGTGTGGAAGTAGAACAGAAAGCAGGAAATGATAAAAAATATATAGTTACTAAGTAAACGTGTTCATTTAAGACTATTTGTAACAGTTTATATAAAATAACGTAACAGATGTGATATTGGACTTAGCGTATCATATGATATTTCAATTATTTGAAAACCTATGAAATATATATTGTAAATACACCATCGGGACTTAACGGGTCGAAAGAGATTGTTGGCAATGGAGTTTGATAGTTTCACTGCTAGCAATATATCCTATCAGGTCGACCTCCACGTAGTTCCCTCTGGAAACCATTGTGATTGATTCTAGGAAAATATTATATTATCTTATATTATATATATATATATATATTATATTATATATATATATATATATATATATATATATATATATATATATATATATATATACCAGTAAACTAGATACACGAATCACTTACCCCTTCTTTACTGAGATCCGTCATATCTACAATAGCCATGCTCATGTTAACCCTCATGCAGAAGGAAATTATCATGCCAGTGCTTAGCATAAGGGTTTGCAAATGCCGGATGCCCAGTCCCTCTGAAAATAACAAAACATAACGAGGTTATAACGGCTGCATAACTGTATTATCGATACGAAGAGAATATTAATAACTAACTTTTACCTGTGACTTCGTCCGTCTAACTGTGACCGAGATATGTTTACTAACCAAGATAAAAGTAGTTAAATAATACAAGTAGTTCCCCCTGGAAACCATCGTGGTTAATTCTAGTGGAACTCGTCACGATGGGCTAACTGGCCTGCTTTCATCGTCACCTATCATCGCTCACTGGTGCCCCGCCAGCGTATACCGATAGCGCAGGTGGGGTTACATTCCATTATCACCCATTAAAAAAGAACCTAATTTCACATTAAGTTATATTTCAATTAAAGTCATTTCAGTACTCTATTCAGACTAGACAGATTTATTTGCACTTGTATTTGTTAAGGGCGAGCCGATTCAGAGATATTCACTCCGAAATCCTCTAAAACCAAGTGTGTAAGGCGATTTGTATTCGCGTATACGTATCTCGGACCTTTATCGTGAAACTATTCGCCAACGTGTACATCTGACCGCAAATTTTATTTCCTTTACCCCGAACTTTCTTTCGCACTTGTTTTATGGATATCGGTAATAGATTTTAAAGGGTCAGCATACATCTATGCATATAAAACTGTTACCCTTCAGTTACTATAAACTGGAAAATATTTAGGAAATATCTCCCTAATGGGAGAGAGGCGTGACAGATAATGTATGCATGTATGCATGTATGTATTTAGGAAATTCTGATGTAATAGGTTAAATTTTTTCATAGGTTAAGATTCTTTTAATGCAACTTAGAATGGCAAACTGATGGTCTTGATGAAAAGTGGTAACCGTCGCCTATAGGCATGAGCAGTAGCATAGACATAACAGAGTATACTGTTCCGTCCATGATACTCGTCATGTGATGCCATTCCATAGAATTAAAGGGTTATGCGTGTGTACCTTGTAAATCAAACGAAACATAGAGATGCGAAAACAACTGCTTCATGACAGAAACACGAATGGGACAGAGATACCAAATCCAATAACTTTTGTACAAAGTCTGCTGCTCGTGAAATTTCCAAATGCAAAGTCAGCATTGAAGAATAAATTTTTAAAATAAATTAGTTTCATATCCGTTATTTCTTACGTATGAATTTCAGAAGTAGTAAAAGCAATAAGATCATTGCTAAATGGGGTTTCATGATAAGACATATACCAGATTTTAAGCTTGACTTTCAGGAATATAACTGTGTAACAAAAACTCTTAAACGATTTGGTACAGTAATTCTACGTAATCCAGGAACGAAGACAAAAAGACAAAATTTCTAAAAATTATTGATTTGGCTTCTATTACACTTAGATATTTTTTTCTTAAATACACAGTAAATTTTTACTTAAATATACTATAATATGTATTTAAGAGAAAAAATTACATTTATTTTCTTTATTACGACTCCTCATTTATCTCGAATATCTCCCATGTACAGATAATATCTAATTACAGTTTTATGAGCAACATTATATCGATATAAAAACATAATTACAGCAATAAAGAATTCAATTCACGATTAAGAAAAAAAAAATATATTACAAAATTTTATTACATTAATTAAATTTAATTACTCACTCGGTCTAACATTTTCAACTTTTTCTGTGGTTCCCATCTTTTTTTTTTTTTGTGTATTTTATTTTGTTTATCAATACTATTATGAAACTATTTATTATATAAAATTTATCATCTCGGCGATTCGACACAACGCACTCTAAACTACTGATAGAATCGTAAACTTAACGTTACAAAAAAAGTCTCGCTAAGAACTGCAAATACGTGGAGCTGTCTTATTCTATTCAATACACTAAAAACTTTATACATTGAAAAAATATTTACTTATTTATTTATCGAACTTTACTTTCATTGGATAATAATTTATAAGACGTTAGTTACTAGTCGCTGCCGTGTGGTCCCGGTATAGAATAGGCCACCCCTTCCTTTCCCGTGGGTGTCGTAAGAGGCGACTAAGGGAGGGCGAGGGATGGGTAGCAACGTCTTTCTTAAAACGCTTCTAAAAGCTAACTGCGGTTGCCAATACATCCACCAAGCGTGGCAACTACTGGCAAACCCCCCTCCTCCCAGAGAGGGAGACTTGTGGTCAGTTAGAGACTTATATGATGATATTTTTTTTTTAATTAGATACTAAATAAACTAATATATTTGTTATCACACTTACAAAAGCAAAAAATATGTAAATTATAAATCTGTTAATTAATAAATATTTTTTTTTCCAAAGAGTTACATAAAGTACATAGATAGAAACAGTGACCTTATGTAAAGCATCTTTATTTATCGTAATACCTTTTTTTCTTTCCGTCTTGAGGTATACACATTTATTTTATTTATACTACTTGAAATAGCAAACAAATATAAACGCATAAATTCTCTCATAATCCGACTCCAGTTTGTTTGTTTGTAACGCTTTACAGTAAGTCTTATGAAATTCTTGTTAATTATTGCGGCAAAAGTAGAAGCCATATTATAAATTAGCTGTATCCCGCAATTGTTTGCATACATTAATACATAAAGTATCCTAAGTACTCAATTAGGATATAGCCTGTCCATGTACTAGATTTCATTCAAATTTGTTTGCTAATTTTTGCGTGTAAGAGTTATAAATATCCATACTTTCATCCATCCATTGTTATAAATTTTCGCATTTATTATTGTTGTGCCTATTTATGGTACATTGTTCATAAAGATAAAAAAATGAATATATTTATGTAATCTTAATATACAGTCCACACATCAATACATACAGATATACCATACACCCATACTTTATGCATACAAACCAGAGGGAGACTTTGTACAAAAGTCGATTGCTTGGGTACCTCTATTCCATTCGTGTTTCAACCGTAAAGTAGTTGTGTTCGCATGGCTGTGTTTCGGTTTGAAGGATGGGATATGGCGTGAATTTACTGAGTACGGAGGAATAACACCCGAGTCCTCAGGAATGGCAACGCATGGGGGGTATCATGGGCGAAACAGTATACTCTGTTATGTCCATGGTACTGCTCATGTCTATAGGCGTTACCACTTTCCATCAGGTGGGCTCGTCAGCTTATTTACCATTCTAAATTGTATAAAAAAACACACTACACGCCGTCCTAACCTAATGTTTACTACCTTATGTTTTATAATATAAGTATCAGTAAAAAGGGATTGTTACTTCAGTTCGCAATAAACCAATGTAGTAAAGAGACGCGCCATTTCATTATCTAATATCGATCAAGCAAAACCATTTTTGAAGCCTTAAGTGCTACAACAATTATATTAACAGGATTATGATGTAAATAGCCTTAACATCTTAAAAACTCCACCTACCCTTTGTCTTTTTCTTAATGTCTTCTACCCATAGATTATCTAAAAGAGTTTACTTAGCGATAAGGCCGCCTTTTGTATCACTTCTCATTAATATTTACTGTATTTATATATTTTTTTAATTAAGTATATTAAAGTGTAAAATAAATAAGTGAAATAATTTTATTGTGATTTTAAAATTTATTTATTTATTTATTCATTAGTACATATACATGTACATGGCGGACTTAATGCTAAAAGCATTCTCTCCCACTCAACCATAGGGAAGTGTCAGAATACTCGAATGCGGTACTAGTAATTATTGATATACATAAATACTAAAATTACATATATATATATATATATATATATATACATACACGATTTTTTTACATTTGATTTAATAATTAAAATTCTTATAATAAAATAATGTTTCAAATAAGTAAATGGAGACTCCATTCACTTTCCTGTTCCTAATAACAGTAGAGATAAATCTTATGTAAACAATAAAGGTTATCAATTGGGAGTCATAATGAAATATAGATGAATTAATATCTCGCACGACGATTAGAAAATGAAGTTGTAAAATATATCTTATTACTAGAGAAATAAGGTTCAGTATAAGCAATAGTATACTATAAAAAGGAATGCCGATAACTGTAACGGAATCACTGCTACACAATGTTACACACGTGTTCTGCCTTCATCGTACGACACGTGATATACATTGTAGCTATCATCATATCAGCTGTTAACTTTCCATTGCTAAACATGGGCCTACCCCATAAAGGGTTTTTTTATGGGTAAAAATGGAATAGTAACCCCGCCCGCGCTAACGAGATACGCTGGCGGAGCCCCAGTGAAGGGTGATCGATGAGAATGTAAACAGGCCAGTTAGCTCATCATGATGAATTCACAAGGAATTAACTATGATAGTTTCCAGGGAGAACCGCGAGGAGGTCGACCTGGCTGAATATATTGCTAGGAATGGAATTTTTGGTCTCCATTACTAGCAATCTCTTTCACCCCATAACGGGGAGTTTAGTCAGTAGTTGCCATGCCATAGAACACTTTGCCATAGAATAGTCCATCCCCAATTTCCGTATACCAATATCGCAGGCAGGGCACCAGCGGGGATGACAGATGAGAAAAAACATGTCAGTTATCCCACAGTGATAAATTTACCATAAAAGTTAAACACTGGTTTTCAGAAGAAACCACGTGGAGGTCGACCTGATATATTGCTAGCAACATGGCCGATAGTCCCTATTACTAACAATCCTTAATATACTGATTAACGCGGGCAATTCCGCGGGGAATAATTAGTTTAATATTAGTAGAATTACTAACAATTCTCTCGCATTACATTCAAGCTACAGTGACCGTTTACCATCAGACGGACTGTATGATTATTTGCCACCTTTGTGGTATAAAAAAATTACTGTCTAGGGAGAAGAGAATGGGGGAAATAAGTAAGTGACTGCTGAGAAAATGCTGAGTAAGTACTGATACTCAATTTGACTTTCACTACACTTACTCAGTAGTCGAGTAAACGTAATACTGAATTTAGTAAGCACAATGTTGACTCACGTATCGAATCGGTAGTTGCATCGCAATCTAGCAATGGGCTTTGCACCGAAGCAATTTTCATTATGAACTCCTATTCAAAATACGAGTATGGCAAACATGCGTCGTTATTCACGAATGCTACAGGCCTTCATTTTTGCCGGGGACAATTTACAGAATGGTCTTTTAAAGCGACGTATTAATATCGGCTCTGGATGTTATGGATTTTGGTTAATCAGTGAGAATGGAGTAGTACTCTTGTTTGTGCTATTAATTTTACGCTAGGGGGCGTCAGTGAAGATTTATGAAAGGTATCATCGTCATATCAGCCGTTAATTGTAGAGAGGGCGCATTTATTTATAAATAAATAAATAAATGCGCCCTCTCTACAATTAATTCTTCATTGACCACATTACAAAAAAATGTCTGGTACAAAAGGCGAACTTAATGCTATATAGCATTCTCTCGCAGTCAACATTTGGCAAAACAGAAATTTTATTATGCGGTGAAAAAAATTACAACACATACAATAAAGAACTACTGCACATTATGATTAAATAAATATACATACATGAATACATTAAACAAATATTACATAAATATACAAATATGTAATAAAAATACATACATAGTAATATAAATATATAAATATAATTGCTAGCAATGTACACAGTCAGGTTGACCTTCACGTGGTGTCATGTGTGTGCAATATGTGTGCAATATATGTGTATGCGTGTGTATGTGTGTGTGTGTGTGTGTGTGTGTGTGTGTTTAATCGATCTAGCTACGTTTAATTTTTAGAAAACGTCGTATTATACATTTTTACAAGAAACAATAAACTGCTAAAATATCATTAGAATACTAGGGTAAATTACGTCACAATCTATATAAGATTATAAAAGTTCAGGTGGAAAATCGGGTGCTCCTAAAACCAGATGATCTCGGTTCGAGTCCAGATAATAATTTTCCCCTATTTTTTCTTTCAAGTTCCTTCTTTTGCAAGCAAAACTATTACTGAGTGCCCTTTATCAACGCATCTAATTCGTATCTAAGTATAGTTTCTAAAAAAACAAAAAAAAAATCCTATTGGCGATGTTTCGATACAAAGATAAATGTTAAAGCATCATTAAATCTTTATCGACTCGCAACTAACTGCTTTACCGACACAGCAGCATTACAGCTACTTGACAATAGATGGCGTTGTTAGGCAACACTAAGCTAAAAAAGGGTAGGTACTAAATATTTAAGGACAATAATTCTTGCTAGACTATTGCCTTATAAAAAACAAAATAGCCACTGAAATTTTCGAAGCTGTCTGCAATTCCTACACTTTATGAGTTAAAACATGATAGTCTTTCAAACACGTATAATATTTAATGCCTTAATCTGAAGAGACATGAACAAATACAATACATAATTCGATTTATTTTTCAACCGACTTCAAAAACAAGGAGGTTCGCAATTCGGTTGTATTATTTCTTTTACGTTTGTTACCTTATAACTTCATCGGTTATAAACCGTTTTTGAAAATTCTTCTCTTATCTCAAACAATATATTATATATACAGATGGGACCACCATAGAAATTTTATCAAAATCGTTTCAATTGTTTAGTTTTGAAATCAGAATAACTGTTTTGCCACAATTAAAAGGCTTTTCTTTTTTGTGAAACATAATTTATTTATAATATTAGTTTAGAATATTTGGCAATATTGGTCCCAGCATAGAATAACCCATCCCTTCCTTTCCGGAAGCATTTTACTTGTATTTTTTTATACAACTTAGAATGTCAAACAATCAGACGGCCCACCTGATGGAAAGTGGTAACCGTCGTCTATAGACATGAGCAGTACCATGGACATAACAAAGTATACTGTTTCGTCCATAATACCCCCCATGTGTTGCCATTCCTGAGGACTCAGATGTTATTCCTCTATACCCAGTAAATTCACGCCATATCCCACCCTTCAAACCGAAACACAGTCATGCAAACACAACTGCTTCACGGTAGAAACACGAATGGGACAGAGGTAACCAAGCAATTAACTTTTGTACAAAGTCTCCCTCTGGTAAAATATATAAGGGAAAGATTCTGTCTGTCGAGGAGGACTAACCTAGCATCGGCTTCGTGAGTTTTCTCTCTTGTAGGTGCAGTTCTTCCTCAAATTGTATATGTACGCACACAAATTCTAACAGGTCCTTTAGAGCACATACAGTTAAAAATACACGAATTACATTTAATGCACGGGAGCAAGCGTCCGCGCATACGCCTCCGTTCAGTCGGTACCTTTTATTTTTTAAAACTAAGGTGGGAGGAAAATAATATTGACGGACTCCAATATTGTAAACAAGCTGTGTTTTATTACAATGGGATTAGATTAGTGAGAATTGTTGGCACTTGTCAATTGATTTAACCGTACAACCGTATATATATATATATATATATATATATATATATATATATATATATATATATATATATATATATATATATATATATATATATATACACACATATATATATATATATATATATATATATATATATATATATATATATTTATATTTATAAATACTAATAAGGGGGGAAAAGTGATTGTTAGTAATGGAGACTGAGAATCCCATTGCTAGCAATATACCCAACCAGGTCGACCTCCTCGCGGTTCCCCCTGGAAACTATCATGATTAATTCCAGATAAATTCATCATGATGGGCTAACTGGCCTGTTTTCATCCTCATCTATCACCCTTCACTGGTGCTCCGCCAGCATATCCTGTAAGCGCAGGCGGGGTTGCCATTCCATTTTCATCCAATATATAAAAAAAAAATACTAATAATGATGATATCAAGCGTTAATTGTCAAGTGCTGGATATAGAAGTCTCCTCAATGTCGAAGAAGTCCTCCCCTATTAGAATGTTTTGCTAAAAGTTGCCACGCTAAGGTAATGATGTTTGGTGGTAATCTTTGGTGATGTTTTAAGAAGGACTCTGCTTGTTGTTAAAAATATACGTAACCAAAATAACCTAAGTGAATAACCTAACAGAGATGATGATGGTCCAGGAATACGACCAACCAATATGTTTCCTACAAATTTACATATATTTTTTTACAACCCAGGGGGCAAACGAGCATGCGGCTCACCTGATGGTAAGTGACTACCGCCGCCCATGGTCACCCACAACACCTGCGGCATTGCAGGTGTGCTGCCGGCCTTTTAAAAAGGAATATGCTCTTTTCTTGAAGGTTATGTTGTCGTATCGGTTCAGTGGCGCTCCTGCCCATAGGTGAGAACAGTATTCCATCTGCGGCCTGACTTGAACTTAATACAATTTCGGGCGGTGTTAACTTCGTACGCGTGACGTTTAAAATATAATATACATCAGATTTGAGTTCAATCTTAAGGAATACAAATTTAATGTAAAATCGCATATAATTCGGTGTAGTAGTTTTTGCGTGAAAGACAGGCAGACAGACAAACACACAAAAATTCTAAAACCTACTGTATCTACATGTAATGGTTTTATATAGACTCTAATTATATTTTTTTATATATTGCTAATTATTTTTCAAAACTGTCTTATTACCTTAGATTATATAGATAGAGTGTTTCCATACAAATGCTTCGAGAAAAGCATATCAACTTTTTCATACAATTTTACGTGATAAACAGTTATGAGCGATTCCTTTATAACTCCTATATTTATTTTGTCTTTTAAATTCTGCACTTTTTTAAATGCACAATAACATTCATTTCATTTATTGAATAATTAAATATATATACGTCAAGATACAGTGCGTAATTTTTTTTTTACAACACAGGGGGCAAACGAGCATGCGACTCGCTCGCATGCTCGTTCGTTCGTTCATGGAGCATGTAAATGACTACCGCCGCCCATGATCACCCACAACACCTACGGCATTGTAGGTGTGCTGCCGGCCTTTTAAAAAGGGATATACTCTAAATATTATAATGTAAATATATAGAACGTTTATAAAAAAAAAACGAGTAAGCTAATTTGACAATTAGCTGACAAAAAGTTGACTCGTTTTTCAGGCTTGATCCTGTATCTATATATTTTAAGCTAATTACATATCTTTTACTTTATAGATAACAAAAAAAAATCTATATCGTTACAGTTTAAAGTATCCATTGATATGTTCTTAAACATTTTACTTAGTAAACTCTTTTTATAGTGTTTTTTTATTGAATAAACAATAAACTCAAGTATACACCTTCATATCTTAAGTAATGCAAGTGCATAGTAAACCTACAGTTTAACGTCTGGCTTGATACTAAGTTATTACGTTACGTTATCGTTAAAAGAATAGTTTAATTTTGATTACTTATTAAATGTAAAAAATATGTTTATAATAATATGTGGTAAGATAGTATATGGAGACCTCCACTAGATTTTTTTTTTTATACAACTTAGAATGACATACAAGCTGACGGCCCACCTAATGGAAAGTGGTAACCGTTGCCTATAGACATGAGCAGTACCATGGACATAACAGAGTATACTGTTTCACCCATGATACCCCCCATGCGTTGCAATTCCTAAGGACTCAGATGTTATTCCTCTGTACCCAGTAAATTCACGCCATATCCCACCCTTCAAACCGAAACACAGCCATGCAAACTCAACTGCTTCACGGTTGAAACACGAATGGGACAGAGGTAGCCATGCAAACGACTTTTGTACAAAATCTCCCTCTGGTAGTGGTTGACAGGAAACCTCAAACGCATTGTAGGGTGTCGGTGGATGCAGATGGCTCGGGACCATTCCTTGTAGCAGTCTATAAAGGAGACCTATATTCAGCAGTGGACAAAAATAATAATAATGGTAGAAATATTAAGATTTTTTTTGCTACTAAACTTAATAGTAAATATTAATTCTGCCCGCAATAGTAGCTGTGACTCAGCGTCGCAGGTATTGCGGGCAGAATTAACGGCTTGCCTGAACATTTTATAAATCTAATATATAAAATTCTCGTGTCACGATGTTTGTTACCAAACTCCTCCGAAACGGCTTTACCGATTTTTATGAAATTTTGTGTGCATATTGGGTGGGTAGGTCTGAGAATCGGCCAACATCTATTTTTCATTCAATGATAGGGGTGACCCAGCCCTAAATATATTTTTTTTTAATTTTTTTGACAATTTTTTTATTTTTATTTTATTATATTTAGCATTGAAAAATACACACAAATTCAAGTTTTCACGGTTTTACGATCAATCCCTGTTGTTTAATTGTAATTTTTATATGTCGCAATAGGTTTGAAAGATGACAATCGAATATAATAATTGTAGTGCGATATATTTTCATGTATAGTTCTAGAAATAATGTATATGGTAAAACAACGTTTGCCGAGTCAGCTAGTTACTTTACAACTTTAATTATATTAGTTTCTAGACTGTGGAAATTTTCTTTATATTATATGTAAATATTTTATGGCGACGCTTTAGTACTTATATGTTTAGTTTAAAGTAAACGCAGCCCGTATGTCTTGAAGTACTTAATGAAGAAATGTGTTGCAGTTTCAGAATTAACTTCAGTAATGAGAATTTAATGTAGTGAGAATAATTCACTGTTATTTGTATTTTTATTTTGATATGAAATAATTAACTGTTATATATAATATATATATATATACATATATATATATATATATATATATATATATATATATATATATATATATATATGTATGTATGTATGTATATATATATATATATTCTTTATTGCACTAAAACATACAGTAACAACAATAAGTTAATAACAATGTTAGCAAAGGCGAACTTAACTCTAAAAGAGATTTCTTCCAGTCAACCTAACACAGTGGCATAGGAAGTAGTGAGTGGGCAGTAGTAGTGCAAGACAGAAATTTAAATAAATATTTACATAAATTATAAATAATTATATATATATACACATACATACACACGTTAAATATAACATAAAAATATCAAATACAAGAGAACACAATGATGACAGTCATTTTTATATTTAAACTAAATTGTGTATTGTATTGTATTGTGTGTGTAGATATGTGTATTTAAAAAACACGAATGGAATAGAGGTACCCAAGCGGACAACTTTTGTACGAAGTCTCTTATAAATTACACTAGCGACCCGCCCCGGCTTCGTACGGGTGCAATGTTGCACCGCTATGTCCCCGTATTTTAAATTTGTAATATCTTTAGAAATAATCATTTAAATTACATACTGTAAAGACCCATATTGATCTATATTAAATGAATAATGTAATTAAGGTACTTAATTGGATAAAAATTAATGCCGTATTGCTTAAAATCACTTCGTAAATAAGCCATTTTTTTCCAAAAAAAATGGTTATTGTGAGTTATCCTTAAGAGATAGACATATACCATCACGGACTTTTTTATTGTCCTTTTTAAGGTGTACAATACTGTAGTGCATTATTTTAATTTATCTCGTGGCGTTCAGCCAGCGTTTGCAATGTAAGCGCAATATAATATATTTACGACATTACATTAGAAACCTCTAAATTTATCAGTGTTTCTCTGGAATATTATGCATGTATTATATATATAAACCTTCATCTTGAATCACTCTATCTACTAAAAAAACCGCTGCAAAATCCGTTGCGTAGTTTTAAAGATCTAAGCATACATAGGGACGGACAGACAGCGACAGCGACATTGTTTTATACTATGTAGTAATATTATATTACAAATAAAGAAATAATAGTTACGTTTGCGAAACTTAACCAAAAAAACCGCATCCAACGTGGTTTAGTAGATTTTGCTGTCGGAACAAATATACAGACAGAAAAAATTTCAAAAAAATTTTTGGCTTCTAATACCGTTATTACAAACCTTCGCATTATTTTTTTCACAAATATCTCCCATGTACAGTTATTGTCTAATTTCAGTTTTATTATATAAGTAAGAAGCCGATTGGCCGTGTGGTTTCGGCATAGAATGGCTCACCTTATCCTTTCCTGTGGGTGTCTTAAGAGGCGACTAAGATAACTTAATGGACCAGAGATGGGCAGCAGTGTCCCTCTTAAAAATTCACTAAACTAATTAACTGCGGTTGCCAACTCGCTTACCAAGCGTGGCAATTACTGGCAAAATCCCTCAATAGCAGAGGATAGTTATCGGCTGATACAATGAGTGAAATATGAAATAAAATTATGTAAATATGTTGTATTTATTGATGTAAAGTTCCTGCAATCCAAGATTTAAGCTTAGTATACAGGAATATTTTTTTATACAACTTAGAATGGCAAACAAGCTGAC